ATTTTAAAGATATAAGCAGAATCGTTATCGAAAGAGCCGTGAAACCTTTATAGCATTTTCCTTAAGGAATATTTAATCCAGCTGATAAAATCCAGACGAATCTGAAACTATCGATAAATATATTACATTTGCTTCTATGTCAGTCATCGTTGAATAGTCTGATCGGCTTTTTGCCATGGCATAAGTTGACTCCGTCTTCCGCATGAGTTTCAGTGAAAGGGAGCAACGCTGTACCACTCACTGAACCCTGACATGCGCTATCATCACATGAGACAAGTTGTTGAATAGGGTTGGTTCACTGTGACCGCAAAATGAGCGTTGGGAAGGCCGAAGTGATGATCCAACGATGACGCTGCAGCAGATTATTATCTGCAGGGTATCACTGTGGTCTTTATCGATTTGCACACGACGGGGCGCTGCCTAGCAACGAAAGCGACCAATCAACAAAAGATTTTCGCATCATGCAGAATGTAGAACGTTCCCTGGCAGAAACGCTGATCCTGATGACGGTCGTCGCCGCTCGCCTGCTGCATGACCTGAGAGCCAGTCGTTTCCATTGTCATTCGACAGCTTATAAGCAGCTGTTGCCAAAATGATGTGAGGAAACATGTTCCAGAATGGTCGGCCACAACCTCGGTTTCTAAAGCTGTTCGGCGATATTGTCATCGTCCTGCTGTGCGTGGCAGTTTCGACCATTTTTTTCGCCTCGGCAGATCAACAAACCGATGAACAAATGACGTTCCGGACTCAAGGTGCAGTCAGCGGATTATGCGTTTATGCCAATTACACGACTAGCGCTGACAATGCTTTGTATCCACAGCTTTAAGGGTTCTTATACCGTGGCCCTTTGAGTATTCGATTACCTCGCTTGCGCTTCAGAGGATTAATAGGGACAAGAGCATAATGGAGCCCCTGGATTTCACGCTAAAAATTACCGCCATAATGAGTGAGTTCGTTTTAACTGAACTTCGTCGTTACCACGCCTGTTTAGTAGAATGATGCCCGTTGAACAGTGGTCGTAACCGAGAGGCTGAGCTTAAGAGGATTCGGCATATTGGAGATAGCAGGAACAAACGTTTCTTCCTCGGGTCGTTGTGGTAAAGACACCGTTGACCAACCCTGCTCCTTCATAACAGATCATCAAGTTTGACGTTTTTTATAGAAAGCTGTCCGCCCCAGAATTCGCCTGGTCGTTTGAAATCCAGACTAGGAAAAATTCTACCAATTGTCTATCCCGGATACGGCAAATCGGAGTACCGGGAGGGATTGGACTGCCACTGGATCGTAGAGAGCGAACATCCGAACCACGTCGTTCGCTTGGTGATCAACAGCAGCGCCATCGAGGATAAGCTGTTCAGCGAATGTGACGATTTCGTGGAGATTCACGACGGTGAGAAAGTTTTGCTCGTATATGTCTTCCTGTTGTTGTGCACGCGTACATTTAACTCATCCTAAAGAACCTGGGAACAGTACAACATGAGGGTAAAAACCGCCCTATATTGACGTTGACCGCATTACATATATTTTTCTGGAATGCATATTTCTTCAAGGAGTTTTTTCTGCTTATATACAACCGGCAAAAGAGTGAAATAGAAGTGATCTAATAGTCTTCAGGCCTTACACACCTCATATCTGTTGAAAGTCACAAAAAAAGCATAGAGACTATGTCGTACTGAGATAATCTTGAGGTCCAACCTCGTTAGTCACAGCCAGGTCATTCAATTTAAATCCATCGAGACCTAGCAGAAAAACATGGAATGGAGCTTTTAATACAGCCACGGATCCGTGGTACTTGAGGACGTTCAGTGTCAGATGATCTGGCATCATTTTGTTTGCTAAAATCAACTCGCCTCCATCACAAACGATGTTTCTAGAGCTGGTACTCATCATATGCCACTGCATTAACAGATGAATAATGCCGATTTAGGGGAAGGCGTACAAAGACAGATGGAAGCTCTCATTAAACTGAAAGAGAATAAAGAAAAATTCCCCACTACAAGGAGGTAATGTCTTCGATTGGAAAAGTGTGTGTGCGTGTGTGTGTGCTTGCGCGATTGCTGTCTTAAGTCCTCCTTCGTTTGTGACATCCATTGTGTTGACAGGCTTGAAACCTTTTCCCCTAAAGTCACGGATTACTGTATTGGAGAAGGAAATGCTTTTCCTTGTGAGTACGTTCCATTTCTTTGTCTCTCCATGTTGCATGACCTCCCGCCCAATGACTGCCATATTTCAGCACGAGGGTAGTCATTTATTCCTGCCTCGGTGCTCAGCCAGTTTGTTCATTCTCTATGTATTGACGTCACCTGTTCTTGGAAAACAATGGATTCGCTCCGTCGTGATTCCTGCATTTTACCCTTATTACCCGTCGAATTCAATGTCACAGCATGCAGTACAACCGTCGTAAGCCATTTTGGCCCCTTCATTAAAACAACTGTCTCCATGTCGTACAACAACTGTCTTCCTATCCTGCCGTAGGTACAGGCGGATTTCTGTGGAAAGGGCTACCTGTTTCCCAGCTTAAATACTCCACAGGCTACCAAAAGCACAGGAAGCGAGGGAAGCCTCCCCATCAGTTCTGATTGATTGATGCCGTCAGTGACATGGCTGAGCCGAGATACTTCAACTGGTCGAGTTGATTTCCTATATAAAGAAGTCCGTTATCCGTTCCAGTGGTGGATCAATGAATGAATGAGGTATGGAGGGAAAGAAACTACCGGAAGCAAAGAATTAAAGATGCCCTGATTATCCAAAGGGTGAAGATCTATCATTAGATTCGAGGCAAACAGCACTTGATCTATCTGCTTACGTTAGAATGCATATCAATATTTGTTCGTTCTTCAACTACGTGACCTACATGCACGCAAATGCAAAACAAAGGCACGCGATGTTTTGACAGGTTTTAGCTTGTATGGTGATGTGAAATATCGCATCAGTGAAATCTAAACAGTCAGGAAGACTGTACCTATAGAAATATACATATGATAAAACTATTAATTGATTTTATTTTTAAGTGCGATTCGAAACATATGATAAACTATATTTTATGGAACTCAGAAACGTTTTCTCAGCATTTTCGTTGCGGACTGTCTGCCACTTATATCTTCTGAAGAGCAATTCGCCCCGCTATCCAAAATATAACGTAAATTATACGCAAAACATGTACATATCCTATGTATAATTAGCCAAATGATTTCGAATATTGCTGAATAAACCAAAGCAGCAGCGAACAGATTAGAATGTTAGATCCACCTTGGAATGTTGCCCAGAGAACAGGGCAAAATCATGGTTCGTTCGGTACTGCTAGATGCCCTGTTTCATTGAAGCGACAAGAAGAGAGAGTGGTTAAAAACGTCGGTTGGGCCTTCGGCACGCTACAATGCTGATCACCCATTTGCCGTGATAACAGACACCTGCGACCACGTGCTAACCAGCTAATCTTTGTGTATCTGGATCGCTGGCCATCCTTAGAGTCGGCATGTTGCATTCAAGGCTGGAGGATTACCCGACGTGACTGTAAGCCCGTTGGGGTGATCACCTCCCCTCTCTCTCACCCCGTTTTAAGAGTGAGTAAAGTTTCGAACATCACAGAATTACTACAGCTAGCGTTCGATAATCTTCGCCTCTGAGTTGTCGGTTAAAATATTTTTTGTCTGAAACACAAAAGAAGCCTAGTCATTTGAAGATCGATCGATTCGCCCACTTTTTGAGTTGATCTCTTTTGGGATATATATTGGTCTTCGTAGCTGCCATAATGGCTAAAGGTAAAGCACCCTGCCATATTTTTTGCCAATCGCGGCAATTCTTTACTTTTGTTTACGAAACACGTTAACATCAATACTAATATTAAATATTGATTGCAAAAACGTTGTTACACGAGTAAAATCACTTCTGATTTTAATATGAATGAACATTTTGTAATAGTGTAAATTTGGTCTGTTTCCATGGATTCGGCAATGCAGAAATTCCAAGGATCAAACTGAGAGATAACAAGTAGCGGGAGAGGCGATATGGTGCAGCATATTGATTGTTCTCAACTGCAGTGCCACCAACAAAACGCACTTGAACCATGGATAGTACCTAACGTCTTATGGGTCTTTCCATTTCCTATGATAAACCTCTTGGACAAGCCTGAACGGAATGGCTGCTAACAATAATGGGTTATGATCCTCGAAAAAACGTGACCAAATCTTTTAATCAGGAATTCTGCTTTGTGAACGGTGGTCAACGTTGAGAAATTGTGAGTTACCAGGCCACAACATCGATTCCTTCAATCCGATCTACTTTCGTCAACGGTAACGCCAGAGAGGCCGGACGACATTCCACCCCTCTTCCATCGTTTACCAAAAGCTTCGTCCCTGTGTCGTCGCAGGATGTTGGTGGACGGCCGAGAGGACATCTGTTACCGAGGAGGATTCAGTTTAGCCATATGGCTAGATAATCATCTCTTCGAATTCAACACGGTAGTGAGTCCTCCAAAAGTCGTGTCACACCGAACCATCACATATGCAAACTGGCCTCGAAGAGGGAAGCTGTGTACTCTTCCTTCCATTGCCATTTGCGTTACCACTAATTTCCTTTATTGAGGCTTTGAGGTAGA